TTCTTTAAAGTGGCCGACTGATTGCTTAGCCTGGAAACAGACAACCAGTCGTCCAGGGGCATAGGTGGCGTGACTAACTATCTCGTACCTATCCGCAACTATCGGCCATGCAAAACAGTCGGTATAGTGTGCAAATGGATATAAGAATATTCGATACTTAAACAAATTTGAAACAACACAAAAACGAAATATTTTGGCATAAAAAAGAAGCCGGTCATTAAAGACCGGCCAAATATTCAGAACCCCGGCCCCCTGGCCGGGTAAATAGAAACAAACGGCACGCAGGTCGTGAAAAGAAGACATAAAACTTAAGAAGGGGGCAGATCTTCAATAATAGCAGCTGCCGCCTGGTCAGCACTCTTTTTGTAGGACTCGGCTTCAGCTGCATCCTTCTTCGATGCATTACCCCCAAGCGGCACAAGCGCCACTACCGGCTCCTCCTCCTCCTCCAACGCCTCGTCCTCAGCAGCCGCCAGGATCTCTTGATTATATCTATAAGAACACTGGTGGTACGTTTTTTCCCAGGAGGAAAAGTCGGCATTGGGGAAGAGGCGGCCCCAGGTCATGCGCTGGATTTGAGCAGAGTCTTCCATCATCTCCCGGACCAGCTCCTTCTTTTCTTGCTCGGCCTTTTACGAGAGCTCCTGAGTAAGATTCTTCTCCTGGGTCACCAGGCGTTCCTTAACGTGCGCCAAGGATTTCTCCAAGGTGTCGTATGAGGACATTTTTTGGCGAAGAGGTCTCAGCTCGGCCTTGAGATTGTTGATGGTCGCCTCCAGCTCGCTATTTTTCTTCTGGGCCGCCTCTAACTGAGCCCGGATGGCAGAAGTAGCCTGCGCCTGATAATAAAGAATGTCAATTGTCAGAACCTCATTTTGGGCAATTTGAAACATTGCCTTATCACAGTCAGAGGCGGCCATAGCTTTTGCAGCCTTTACCTCTTTGTTCTTCCTGTCAAGCGGCTTGCGAAGGCCGTTCACTCGAAGCAGGGCCTAAGTAAAAGGGAACAGGCGTCAGTTTTCAAACAAAAAACAGGCGTCCTGGAATTTGAATAACCAAAAATATGCTAAGTATACCTCAGCAAGGACCCCTGCAATCCCGTCTAGGTCAAGGGTGCCGACACCCCTGACCGCCTCCCTCTCAGCCGGAGGGACGGCTTTGATCATAGACTTGGCCACCTCGACCAAGTCTGGCTCCTGAGGGCCGGCTGCATCAAGCATAAACAAACGGGTTAGACCTAGTAAAGAAGGGAGCAAGTCTAAAATTCACAAGGACAACTTCATACTTCTAGGTGGCCCGACTGGAGTTTTAGAAGGAATGGACGGCTGTTTCTCAGCAGCCGCATGTTTCCTGGCAGAACCAGGAGAGCTCGCAACAGTCGTCCTCCGGATCTTGGAGTCCGGCTGTTGGGAAGAAGAGGCTCTTGGAGTGCCCGTCTAAAAAAAAAAAAAAAAAAAAAAAAACAACACTCGGTCAGTATATGCATAAACCCAACTCCAAAAAGAGAGTGAAAGGTTCGGAGCTCACCAAGGGCGCCCCCTTGTTGGGGGATTCGGTTGATGACTGTTGCATGATGGAGGCCCGCAACATGGCCGCCGCAGTTTTGGAGGCGGTAATTTTGCTCATGGCGTCCGCTGCAAAAACAAATAGCAAAGTTAATAAAAAGTCATAACAGTAATGCATGGAAAAACAGAGTATTCGACAGGCCGGCTACCTCTTGAGCACCGACTACTGAGGCCACAGGCGGCCAAAAAGTACTCGTCGTAGAGCCATTTGAAGCTCGGGACGCAGTGCAGGGGTACTTGCTCTCGTACCCCTGAAGTAGAGTCGACCCTCGACTCTACTTTAAAGAGTCCTTTGTCCAGGATCTCTTTCTTAGCTTTGGGGGGAACAGGCGGCATGCTGCGGCCGCCTGCAAGAAGAGGCGGATTCCTGTTCCACCTGTTGAAGCGCTTGTACAGCTCTGTGTCTGAACTCTCAATGATAAGGAAGGTTCTTCGCCAATCCTTCCACTTGTTTGCTTTACCTCTTGTCATGAGGTAGCCTCTGTGGCTTGTCAATTGATACCAGCCGGTACCGCCTGCCTTAGGGGTCCGGCTGAGGTAGTTCATGTGGGCGAAAGCCTCGAAGTTTGGCTCCACCCCGTGCAGTTCGCACCCGGCCACATAGCTGAGTACCTTGACCTAGGAGTTCGGGGCTAACTTCCATAACCCCAACTCATACCCATCCAAGATCCGCTGAACAGCCGGATGTAGTGGGAAGCGCAGCCCAGCCTTGATGGCCGCCTCGTAGCAGCCAAAGTAGGCGCCATCATAACTAGTACCAGCCGGCCAGGCGACTGTGTCTTCTGGATCTGGCACGAACACTAAAAAGCCGGGGCCCATTGTGTGGTTCGCAATAAAGCTCCCCACTTTCTCTTGCATGGCCGTGATCCGGCCCCGTGGGACAGTGTAGTAGTAGGGGGTATTTTGCTCTCGGTAAGAGGCGGATGGCTCCGCCCAATTGTCCCCCTTCTCAACTGCGTGAGAAAGCCTCGCCTCTTGTAGACGACTGTTTTTCCAGAGAAGCATGACCAGAAGAGCTAGACTCGGATTCGTCCTCTGACGAGTCCGAAGAGGACGACTCCTCCCCTCTCCCAGAGGGGCCCGCCTCCTCTCCTTTAAAAGGAGCAGGAGAATATGTAGACTTGTCAACTGTAAAATTGGAAGGGGTCATTTTGACTCCTCCCTCAGAACTGTCGGCTTTCAAGCCGCTTTGGTTCACTTCCACATCTAGCGCCTGGTCAGATGTTTCACTAATCGGCACCCTGTGGGAGGAGCCGTCTGAGTTCGAAATCCTAGTCGTTCTTTTTGTTCTGGTCATCATGTTCTGCATAGACACAGAGACAGTCGGACTTTGTATAAAGGGCAAAGATGGGTCCGGAAAAGGGCAGGCGGCGCTCCTAGTCCTAGATTCAGCCGTCCCTGGTGACCGGCTGATCACTAACCTAGGTCGTGTCGTGTGCTTCCGTGGTGCCATTTCAAAAAAGAATAAAATAAAGAGAAAATTAAGAGTAAGAGAACCGACGGTTACCTGAACGAGTGAAGTTGATGGAGTTATGAAAATCCTGTGCAGTCGGCTTGTCAGAGCAGGCGGTAGGCAGAAAGGGTCCAAAATGTGAGCAAGTTCAGGGGTCCGAATGTTCTCTCAAAAAGTTCTCAAGTGTGAAAATGACTGAAGTCAACACTCCCTTATATAGGCGAAGTGAGAAGGCGAAGGGTCACTTCCAAAATTAAAAATTTGGGCGAGAGAATCTCTCGGCCTTTCGCCGAGTGACACCTGTAGCAGGCCGTCGCCTGTCACAGTGCAACATCTGTCACAGGTAACACGTGACCAGTCACGTGCCACCTGTGAGGGGCAAATGATTAGGGGATTTTGCTCCCACCAATCGGAATGCGCCACGTGGGCCAATCAGGTCCTGCCAAGTGTCCCCCAGTTGGAACTGTCAGGGTTTGCCACGTGGCACACGCCTATTCGTCCACCCTGGACCTATTATGTCATGACACGTGGCATCCTCCATGCCTAATGGAGAAACCGGCCACCTAGGCCCAACTTCAAAGGGAAGCCCAATCAGCCCTAGGTTAACCTAAACCTAGGATTGACACGTTTCCCAAGGTTATAAATACCTCCCTTAATCCTCATTAAGGGGGATTACGCACATTTAACACTCTCACCTAGAGAGACCCAATCATCTTTATTTTTCGCATTAATTACTCCTTAATCAAGTACTAACTTGACCGTCGGAGGCGGATCTCCAATCGTCCGGAGCATCCGTTTGTTTTGCAGGTACAGGCGTCCGGTTCCAGTCTCGGAATTGTAACTCTCCCGCAGGACATCAGAAAACCCCGAAACAACCACAACTTTCAACTCTTCATGCGAAATGTCTTGTACCACATAGGACCCTTGGATACGGGAAAGTTGGTAAGTGTTGGTGGGCATGATCCATTGATTGAACAAATTTTTGAGGAGGAGCGCTTTAACTACATGATCCACAAAGGCAATGCTGGGGCTATACCGATTAACAACAAAGGAATACGACTTATCACTGTTGCTGATGATCGAATTGTGAAGGTTGAACCAATAATAGACCTGGATAAAGAGACAACTTCCCCTAAGCGAGTCAAGAGAATCGATTTTATTGATTTGTCTAACGATTAGAAATATATAAGGTGTTAATTAATGATCTTTTGCATGATTTTATCCTGTTATTTCCTACATCAAACGTATCAAATTGTTGTAACCTCATATGCACTCTTTTTAGTATATATAGTATGCTAGTTATAATTCATGTATTATTTCGCATACTACAAATACATAAATGCTCTGGAAACTAGGTAAATGATTCTACAAAAAATACAGAGACAAAACACAAATTAAAATGCCTTCAATTTAATATAAAGTACTTCTTAAACATCACATATTAGTTTCATTACATATAGCGCTAAGATAATAGTTTGATTAATAATACGAGAAGTTTTTATTAACACCAAACACATCAATTATTGTTTGCAAACCACTGCTAATATTCCCATGCATCAAAAACTCTTCTTTTCCACATGCCTCCATATGATTGAACGAGGTAAGAATCACCCGAGTTCAGAGCTTCGAATCTCCATGGTACAGTCCAGTTGCAATGCTCACAATGTTGCATGTTGTCGAGGTTGACATGGCCGCCGCAAGGGGTATCATAGATAATCTTACAACAAAGCCTCTCGAGTTGTGACCAATCGACGTCCTCGTTTGCATAAATCCTTTCACCCACCGTGTTGCTCCATCATGAGTTTAGCCGGAGCAAATTAAGTAAATGTAATATCCCATTAGTTTTAGGATATGCTTCTCATATATTTCCTCCCATTGACCAAATTCTTTATGATCTGGGTAATAGGGTTGCTCTTCCTCTTGAGGATTCATTTTTGTTTAAATAATTCGGGTTTTTTTTTTATAGAAGTAAGTAAAAAAAAGGTAAAGATATGAGCTTTGTTTTTGTTGATAATATATATATATATATAAAATCGAGATCATATGAGAACCAAGGCCTATAATAGAAACTAGGAACTCATCTGAGCAATTGATTCATTTGATCTAACGATTGGGATATTGTCCGCCTTTTTGCTAGAATAATGGCATTTTGGGAAATCTATTCAATACTATGCAGAATTCTTTTTTATTTTGCTTTCTCTCCCCTCTGTATACTTTCTTTCTCTTGCTATGAATTCTCTCTCGAGCTATTTTTTTCCTTCGATCTTCGCTCCGTATTCTTTGATTTGGTAAATCTAATTTCTTAGCTGGTTATTGCCGATGATCAAAAGTAAGTTGTTTGATTTTGTCGTTGATTTAATTCGATTTGAAATCACGTTTTTTGTGATTTTTTTTACGAAATTATGGGTTATGATTGAATACTTTGGGAGTTCAATTGATATATTTGGTAATTTTAAATTATATGTTTGTGTGTTCAAATTTTAATTGTTTTTATTACAGTTTTTTCAATTTTTTTTTAGGAAATTTTCATTTCTATATCTCATTTGATGGTGAATTTGATCGTTAGGTTTAGGGAGTGGATGAATGTGGTTAGATTGGGTATTTAGTCTTGAGTTTTGTGATCGATTGGTGAATTATTTGAATTTAGTTAATAGAATTGGAGTACTAGTTAGGGTCTAGAGTGCAATTGAGTTACATTGTAGTAGTTATTAATTTCCAACTACTCCATTAATTTGCATAAATTGGGGATTTTTTTAGTTTAAGTTGAATAAAGGTAGAACTTAACTGCTCATCTGTGTTCACAAACAATCTTTAGCATTAGGTGCATTTAGTTCATAGTTTAACTCATCTTATTTTTCATTTATAATGCATTTAGTTCATAGTTTAATTCATCTTTTCATTAATTTATAATCTTATTTTTGGTTATCAGTTAGTAGCTTATCTCATATCATTGTCTTAGATTACAAATTACAATATAGTTAATATAATTCCAAAATCCAGAGGCTGCAATATAGGACTAAAATAGATATAGGCTATCATAGTCTGGACAGGAGCTTTGACATGATATTTTAGGCCATATTTCTGTTTTACTACACCTAAGCATAGGCTATAGATAAATAAAAGACAATATTCATCGTTACTGATTAAATATCCTGTAACAGCGACATTTTTTTCATTTTATTAGTGTTGATGCAAAGCTTGGGAAGGCACGACTAGAGCTTATGGACTGATATTCAAGGATTCAGTCAGAATCATGCAAAGAGCATTTCTAAGACCAAGGTTCAAGAATGAGGTGATTATATAAGTTGTTGCTCTTGGAAGTTTACAAATTGCTAATGTTGAGTATAGTTTGGCCAACTACCTAGCTTATGACTCATGGTATCAAAGTAGTGTCATTCTTTTCAAATTGGATTTTCTGCAAACTTGGGATAGCTTGGAGAATTACCTAGATGTTAGTGAAATTCTATTTACTTTTGAGTTTGTCTTATTTACTTTTAAGTTGATGGTAGTTATTTACAGGCTTTCTTTGTAGCCTTGGGCGTTGTGCGAATGGTGTGGCTATATGTGCTCAAGGAGCACGGGGTAAAGGGTGTGGTGTTGTGTGTCGGTTGCTGTTGTAAAGTTTGGATGGGCGAAGGAGCTAGGTTGATGATGTGCTATAGGATATTCAATGCTAGATACAAATGGAAAGAGGCTAGCATTCAGATTTTGGACTTCACTGCAATGTGTACTGTGTACTTATCACAAAGACTTCCCCCTGGACCCTCCCCCATACACTTACAATTATAAAATGGGGCATAGATTTTTTTTATTTACTTTTGAATTTTTTTTTAATTTACTTTTGAGCAATTTTTTATTACTATACATTAGCCTACTATAGCTCAAAAGGTAGAGCATTGTTCAATTATACAAAAGATGTGGGTTCGATACCCATGTAGGTTTATATGTGTAATTCAGAGACTAAGCTTTGTATTTAAGTTTAGTTATGTGTTTAATTAGATTTATACTGTTTTTGTTTACTTTCAATTTAATTTTATTTACTTATAACTTGAAATCCCTTACATTGAACTCTATATTTTTTTCTTATAACTTTTACTCACCTTGTTAGGATATAAAAGTCAATTACTCAGAGATTTTTTGTGCTACAATAATGTTTGCATATTGATTAGTCATTTCAAGATAATTTTATTGTTCGAATACTTTACAGCTAATTTTATTGTTCGAATACATTAGAGCTAATTTAATTAACTTTTTAGTTGATTTAATTTACTATTAAGATATTTTGAATAACTTTAGAGAGTTGTAATTGACCTTTTAGTTAATTTAATTTACTATTAAGATATTTTGAATAACTGATTTCTACAAACTTTGAGCCGGAAATCTGCAAGAATATACTTGCTATTCCTCTATCACGAAGGCTACTGAATGATACACTATTGGCGATTCACAAAGGATGGGTTCTTTTTCTGTAAAATCCGACTATTGGCTTGCAAAGGGGAGGGGTTATCTGCTGTGAGTAATGAGACTCTGATAACTGGTGATGAAGATCTCTGGAGGGGCATCTGGAATTTTGAGGGTCCACCAAAATTGAGACACTTCCTGTGGAAAGCTTGTAAGGGCTTAATGGCTGTCAAAAACCACTCTAATACCACCACATTGTTCAAGATAAATCATTTTCCATCTACAATGCTAGCAGCGAAACTATTATTCACACCCTGTTCGAGTATACTCATGCTGCAATTTTCGAAGGATGGAGTGTTGGGTTAGGGGCTGTTATCAGATATGACAGGGGTGCGCTGGTTGTTATCATGGTGCGTACGATGAAGGCTTGCTATGGGGTGGCTACTGCTGAAGCATTAGCTGCGCGATGGGGCTGGTGCTTGCTAAGAGGCTATTATACCAACTTGTGGAGCTTGAGTGTGATGTTGCCACTGAGGTGAAGTCTATAAACTTGCGCAAACATGGAAGGGATTCTATTGATTTGATTTATGAAGATATTCACTTGCTGCAAGTTAATTTTGTTCTCTTCTCCTGTACAGGGGGGTAATGGTGTTGCTCGCATGGCAGCTAGGCTTAACCCATCTAATGGCTTTGAGCATTTTTTTTTGTAAACTCTTTTCCGCAAGGTTTAATTGCCTTGGCAGAGCTCCATCTCCTTTAATTTATCCAATCTGCTCTTTGAGCTTCCTTTAAAAAAAAAAAAAAACAAAAGGTAGAAGTTGGACCTACACCTTAATAAATTTAATTTGCATATATAGAGATTTCATTTGAAACAAAAATTTTCCTTTGATATACATACTTTTTTTAAAATTTACTTTTGAGGTATTTTTGTTTACTTTGAGTTATTTTAGTTAATTCACCTATGTAGGAATCGAATCTACATCTCCTATGTATTTGCTTAATGTTCTACCTTTGAGCTAATAGGTTTAGGTTTTAGCATAGCTAATAATCAATAACACAAACCAATATGGATTGGATAATCCCTGATTTTATACTTCGTGTGTCTTCTATTAGTTCCTAAATTACGAAAACACAAAAAAAAAAAAAAAAAAAAAAAAAAAAAAAAAAAAAAAAAAAACAAAACAAAAAAAAATAAAAAATTACGAAGGAAATAACAGGTTATTATGTTCCTAAACTGCAAAAGTTTAATACGCAAAATATATTACACCAATATATTCAGATCCCAACCTCAGAAACTAGAGACAACATCCATCTTGTCAAATAAGAATCTCAATTTTAGGATCCAACCTGTAAGCCAATAAACCAACAAATTCTTTGAACATTTTCACTTTAGTGTGCTTGTTCTGCATCTGCAAGAGCCAAAAATCATATGAACATTAGTGCATATTCAACAAATTATTAACTTGTTCTTCATCACAATTTTAGTCTTTCAATTTACTTTAAAATTTAATTGTTTTACTTTTACTTTGTTTCTATCTACTTTTGAAATTGATTAAATAATGGTATGATTCATTGAGACATTTTGTCAAACAGTTAGTGTGCATTCAGAAATTTATTTTACTTTAAAAGAGATTTAGTTTAGTTTTAAGAATATGTAGTGTACTAAAAAAAAACAAATAGCAATAATCATTCATCTATTAACAATTTAGATATCTGCAAATCAATTAAGTCTAAATTTCACTCAAAACGTACGGATCATCTGTCTAAAAATATACAAATCAAAATACAAAATTCAGTAAAAAGATGGCAGAAACGTTAAAAAAAAATTAAACAGAATAGATAAAACTATAAATTAAGTTAATCAAAATCTAGATGAAAAAAAAAATGCTTCTCTTAATCTACCAATGGATTTCTTGAGCTTGCTTTCCAATCTAGCATTATTAAGATTAATCAAAACCCTTAGCATATATCCATAGTCTCTTCCAAAATTCCATTTTTGGGACGGCGGTTTCGATATCTATTTTTCCATATCTCATATGCGCAATTTTGCAAGAATAATCACGAAAAGACTTAAGCATTCCGATTAGTGAATAGGTTTTATTAAATCAACACCGTGAATTTAATTGTAACCTTTTCAACCAATCTATCTATGTATGCATATACATTTCCATTTTTGTTAGTTTTCTCCTTGAAAACTTATTTGCATTTGATGAGTCTTTACCCTTCATGGAAATTAATCAAGTTTAAAGCAGTATTTTCAAACATGGAGTTTGTTTCGGATTTTTATGGCCTTTAACCAGTATTCGGAATTTGGATTTGTCTAGCTAATTTACAAGACACTATTCCCTTACCATCCAATAGTAATTAGTATGCTTGTAAGTCTTAGGTTTATTTCTAACTTAAAAGAAATTGATACGATTCAATCCAAGCCTTTGGTGAATTCTATACCTATACGGGGTAATTGCATCAAACACTGAGTTTCAAGGTGCTTTTAAAGCCCTTTGATTATATTGATCTTACTCCAACACTTCTAAAGTTTTGTGAGTACTGAATTCTCATTTAAAGCACTTGTAAATTCCTTAGAGTATTCTTGATCAATCATTCTCATGAAGCCCTTCTAATGTCTTCCGAGATTCTCAGTTTTAGTTTGTTGCTAATCTCGATAGTCATCGAGTTCATTTTCCTCCCACTTGTTGTTTTGGAAAGGTGTTATTTTCCAGAAAGACACCACTTAAAGCAACAAATACTATGTTCTCAATCAGGTTGTGGAAGTAATACCCGTAGTCTCACTTATGCTTACAAAGTGACATGAATATTGTCTTTGGGTAAAAATTCATTGTGAAACAAACAGTTAGCTCCCACTCGAGCTACCTTAGCCCTTATGGAGCCTCTTAGCTTCCATTGAGCCAATGAACTCCCACTAAGCTAAGAGCCCTAGACATATACTTGAAAAGACGTTATAAACTATTTCTATCCATAACTGAATATGATGTCCTTTCTTAGCTTCGACATTTCATTTAGTGTAACATTAATCATTTGTGAAAATATTTAAGAACTTTAGAGGGGGACGTGATTCATTATTGTCCGAGTCATTTCTAAATGGCATCGTGGTCTCTGTGAAGACATTCTAAATTCTCTGTGAAGCTAATTATGAAATTCCAATTTCATAACCTTGATATGATCACTCTTGGCTCAAGCAAACATATATCGCTCGATCTAATCTAGACGTTTTGATATCTTGCCAAGTCGATTCTATACTTCACTGAACTTTTAAGCTACTCAAGATCCAGTTTGTTCATATTTGATGAATATAGTCATATTCTTTCAAATTCTTGTGAAAACGTTGAAGTAATGAATTTCTCTTTAGCTTTCGGAGTCAATTGTCTATACCAAGCACAAAAGCCCCTTTCTTTGTCGATTTCAGCAAGTAAGACTTGCTTTCCTTAGAACGATTCCGACTTGATCAACTATTAAGAGTCTGTCTAATAGAGCCTTGAGTAAGTTCTTGTCAATGTAACATTGCTAAAGACGTTTGGAACACAAATCATGTCCATGACTTGAACCTTGTGAGTTTGCATGTTAGAGAAATGTTTATTTATAATCAAGATCCTTGACTCATGGCTTAAACAACCATGTCATTCAAATAAAACCAACAACCATTGCTCTTTTACTTTGAATGTGAGTCTTTCCGTGTGTAAACGGATCGTTTGCTGATTATGGAACACGATAACCATTATTTGTTCCAGCCTTAGCTTTAAAGGTCTTTAAACAAAGCTAATGACCTTACAACTGATGTAGCACTACTTGCTTCATTCCAAGCTCGTAAGTCAATAACTTAGCTTAACTTCATTTGTTTTGAGGTCACTTCGAAAGTGGAACACTCAAGCAATATCTAATACTTGTTAAGATAAGTTTCTAAGTTTAACTACGATAACATGAACTCTTATGTAGAATTGGAATCTCAAATTCCTTTTCTTTTTTTTCTTGTTTCCTATATTTCTTATCATACATCATCTCATTTCTTTAAGTGTTTTGACTTTTATACTTTGTTAGGCATAATTGAGCATCTAATGCGACCTAAAACAAAGTTCCATCTTTTCCTTTAATTCTTACTTGAATTACTTCATCAATGAGTCATACTCATTAGTGTATGAAGCAAAAAAATATGTTGGTTTTCATCTATTGACAATTTGAGTTTTTTAACTCAATACTTCATTTTTATCAAACTACCTAGTGTTTTGAATACATGATGTCCAACCGTCCTGTAGGACTAAGGCCTTGTTTAGTTCAACTTATTTTTACTTATTTCAGAAAAAATAAGTTCAGATCAGATCAGATATGAAAAATAAGTTCAGATCAGAACATCGTTGTATGTGCGGTTTTTTATCGCTAAATATTCTTAATTTCGTAATGAAAAAAATTGTGAAAATTACATATTAATAAACTACACATTATTACGAATCTAACAAGATCCCACTTGATACATTTTTTCCCTATAAATTATCGTACACTTAAGGTCAAAGTTTGGTCAAATCAGACAATCAGATCAGATCAGACCAGACCAGACCAGATCAGATCAGATCAGATCAGATCAGACCAGACCAAATCAGATCAATAAAAATAAGGTAACATTATAGTTTGATTTAGAATACTACAAATACAAGTGCAAAGTATAACCATTTATCAAGATAATAACATAATAAGTTTGAAATTTGAGTCATACATGCAAACTTTCAATCTTATTAAGCGTTTTATCCACACATTTAAAAATTGTCCCATTTAGGCGGGAATTAAACGATTCCAAGATCCCAAAAAACAAAAAGTGATTAAGCATGCTTTGGCTTGTATTAACACTTAATATTTTAAGCTAAGCAATCCAATTGCTAATAGCTCTAAATTACTCTTAGTTTGATAAAACGTCGCATCTAATGCTTTTTTTTTACGTTTATCTCCATTGCCACGACATCTATGGACTCCTTACTAATATCGTTGAGTTTAACCTAAACTAATGTGTATATGATGTCTTGCTTTGGCAAGCGCACCAACATACCTTACTTCCCTAGGAAAGTAGTAATGCCTTGCTTTGACATAGCCCATTACTATTCTCATTAGTTCTGTAAGAGTCATTTTGGAATAACAGATTTAACTCAATATTCTTTGGGACATAGGGTTTCTATGTTGGTTGATTTAAGTGAACCAAACTAATCATTCAACATTCGAAATCCTAAACATGCATCTAACATCGCAATTATATATAAGCAAAATATATATTAGGCATAAATAGGGATGCATTTGGTAACTAGCATGACCCCTTGAAACTTGAGTCTTCGAATCTTCAAGGGTCTTTGTTGCATCTTCTTGGCTTTGTCTTCTTAGAAACGTCGTCTTCGAGACATCACCACCAATTATGCAACTAGTAGAAAAGCTAGGACTAATTTAAATAATTTAAGTACATAAATACTTAACAGAACGCAGTCGGTATTTAGATTTACAAAAATACAGAACGGAACGCAGTCTGTATTTACTATCCTAGTCGGGCCCCACTAGTTGCCATTTTGTAAAACCAGTGATAGAATATACATTCCATTCATCCATTCACTAACGTGAATGGCCCATGTATTTTATAAAGTAAAACAAGCAATAAAGCAAAACATGCGCAAACTAGTAACTAATTTAGGTGGTTAATCCAATCGACACACCTAATTAAAACTATTTGAAGTTGTTAACTGATAATGTGATTAAACGCAATAAAATTATTTCAAAAATTAATGAAGGTTCCATTAAATTCCGCATCCAACTTAATTAAAATTAATCCAATTAATTTAATTAAGTTGGTTCACCCAAATTTTGCCAAAATTATTTTGCAAGTGCCGGGAAAAACCGAGGCCTAGCCTCGTTTTAATAATTAAATAAAATGATGAAAAACGACAAAATCGCAAAACACATAGCCTTACGATGCTCGAGTGCCAAGCACCAAGGAACGAGACTTGGTTTGCTAGGCACCGAGCCACGGCTGCCTTGCGTGGCAGCTGCCCCCGCTCAGCCACTTGCTGCGCTGAGCACCTGCATGTGGCTAACAACATCGCACCAAGTGTGTTATGCTGGCCACAGCAGCATGCTTGCGCGCACGCAAGTGAGGGCTTCCCTGCTGCTATGCGAGCTCGTACTGACTGCAGCCGCACCGCAGCCCACGTAAGCCTCCCGCACCAAGCGCACTAGCACTGCACCATCGTAGGAGCTGCTCGCACACACCACATGCACAAGCAGCCCGCACTCCTCGGTAGCCATATGCAGGTTGTGCTAGCAGCCCAGGTGGCTAAGGGTAATGCTTTTGGCTTTGTGCCTCGGAATTTTATCCCGATTTTTTGTGTGACATAAAATTAATATTAGAACTAATATTAAAAATGAAAAATAAAACAAGTCAACTTAAATAAATTCAATTTTTAGTGCACAAACC